GTTTTTCCTTCCCACTGTCGCCAAAGTGCTTGCTCATAGGGGGTCATATGATTGTTGGGTTTTTCTCTGTACCTATGAAGCGCCTTGAGGCGACTTTTTTTGTGATTTGGCGCTATATAAATAAAATTGAATTGAAAAATTGAAATTTCTCCAAATCCACTAAGCAGCTGCTCGTGATTGTATTAGCTTCATGTGTGCATGTTAGCATTAAGCCTCGGTCACACTCTGCTGTGGACATGGTCACGGACAGCTGGACGTGTGATGGACGAGTCATCCTTCCCGTTAAACTCCTTTGAGATGAGCTTGAAGCCGCTGCTTGGGGCGCATGCACAGCTGGTTATTGTACTGTAAATGTTATGCAGATGATTCCACGCGCTCACAACAAAGCTCAGTGTGGGCGACGCTGTGCGGGCTCCAATGCTGATTGGTTGGAAAGTGGGCAGGAGCAGGGAAGAGACCGACAGCAGCGTTCAGCACAAACATGGAGGATCAAAGACGAAGAGCATGAGAAGCTCAGATGGAGGCTGCAGTGGACACTTTTCATTGTTTTAACACTCGCTTTCACTTCAGCTTCACCAACAACAGCACAATCAGCTGTGACTAAATGTTGCTCCTACAGCAGTGATGGGAAAAACTACTGAAGCAAATCCAGGATCAAAGCTCAGGAATCAGCAGCTCCCACCTCGTTTTCTTTGAACAACTATTTTTAGCTACTGTGTTTTTGTGTTTCTGCAGACCTCAGACATCCTGCTTCTCTGGAGAACTGAAGGTCTCAAAGGCTCAGCCTTTATCTCGAAGAAACAAAGCTGATCATGGAGACCCAGCAGGTCAGCTGATCTGTGGACAGCACCAGCATCTTTAACCAAGTGTGAGAGGTGAGCAGTCTTTGGAAGCTTCACTGTCTGATAGTGATGTTTAAACAATGTCTCAGAGCAGGATTTGGATCATTATTTTGCTTTTCTTCTATTATTATGTTTAGCCTCTGCTTCACAGATATTCTCTGAGATATTCTCTGAAATGCTTCCCACTGCTAGACAAACTTTCACACTTTCTCCATAAGGGAGATCTCCTGTGGAGTCCATCTGTGCACACACAGTACTACCAAACTCATCTCATACTGAACACACACACACTTTGTAGGAATCATCAGTACTTTGACTGTTTCTCAGGTTAGCTTTATGTTAGCCATTTAGCATTTCTCCAGTCTGAGTCACAGAGCGTCACATGACGTGACAGAAGCTGATTGGTCAGCTGCAGTGATGGTGGTGGAGCAGCATTAATGATGATGCTGTAGAACAACAGGAACACGGGGACAGAGCAGGGCGATATGGCCAAAAATATTTATCACAGGACAAAATATAAAATACAACTTCACAACTTTACTAGTGCAAAAAACCCATCTATTTATTTTCACTTAAACAAGCAGCTGTTTTTTATGTGCATTAAAGCTATATATCTATAGATAGACAGACATAAATGTAAAAGTGCAAATGCAAATTCCTTGCTTAAAGTTTAACCAAAGGACATATCCTGAGCATAACCATGTATAATATCCACTAAAGTTAAAAAGAGGTGCTTTGCAACATTAAACTGCAGTGTGCCAAATAAAAAAGTCAAATACGTACTTTCGAATGATAAGGTGCATGGGAATATATGGCACATTAAGCAAAAGCAAGCAGTCAGATAAATTTATCTTTATTCAAGTCATTCTTCATACTTCCTCCACTTCCGTACCATTGATTCATTAATGTTGAATTCTCTGGCAGCTGCTTTATTCCCATGTTGTTGCAGTATATTAATGACTAACCTCGTATTGTGGATGGATTATCTTACTTGTTCTCCTGACTGAAGTTTGGTCCGTTTACAGCATCCTGCCATGTGACTGCATTTGTCTCCAAACATCAGGAACCCTCACGTTAACTTTTATCGAGTGGAAAAGTGTTAGAGTTCATGATGCAGCTTTACTCTTTATGTTATGCTAACATAGCTGTGTAGCTAGCGATCACTAGCACAGCATTATATACCAGCTAACATAACATAAACACTGAAGAAAATGAACGCCAACTTTTTTTTCAGTTGATAAAAAAAATAACGTGAGGGTTCCTGATGGTTAGGGACAAATTCAATCGCATGGCAGGATGCTGTAAATGGACCAAACTTCAGTCAGGAGAACAACTGAGATAATTCATTCACAATACGAGGTTAGTCATTAATATACTGCAACAACATGGGAATAGACAGCTGCGAGAGAATTCAACATTAATGAATCAGTGGTACGGAAGTGGAGGAAGCGCAGTTTTTGGCTTTCCTCATAGTCCAAAACACGCTTTGTCTCTTTGCTATTACTGTCGCGCAGCGTAATTTGCAGATGACGCGATGCTTTCAACCAAAACACGTGCAGCTTGATGACACCATCATCGCGGTAGAGCGCTATAGTCAAAATCTCTACCCTTGGCCAAATTTACATCATTTTTACTGTATACCATACCATAACATATTATACCGCCCACCCCTAAATGGGGACTGACCTCAGAGTTTCAAGTCCACATCCTGGACTCTCCAGAAAACCACACAGATGCTTCACTCCTGAATCCTGCAGCTTGTTGTTGCTAGGGTCCAGCTCTCTCAGATGGGAGGGGTAGGACTTCAGCGCTGCTGCCAGATAATCACAGCTGATCTTTGACAAACCACAGCTCACCAATCTGTGTAAAGATGAAAGAGGTTTATTAGACAAAGTGTGCTTGAAATCATTCAGTGTTTCATAATCTGTTCAGAGCTGAAGAAGGTTTAGAATGTAAAAGTTAAGAAAATGGAAACTCCAAACAGCTGAAGCCAACAGGGAGCAGCTTCAAACAAACACAAAAAGAGAAAAAACTCTGAATGTTTCACATTAAAGTTGTACATTTATCATAAAAACGTGAAAAAGTCGTGTTTTTCATTCCGGGAACCACATCGCTTCACTTTTAAATGTGAAGTTGGAAAGAAATGGACATATTTGAAGTCTAACATCGCCTTTTTCCAATCACATTATTAAAGCAGACAAAGTACAAGCTCATTTCAAGTCATCTTCTGACCTGGACTGACAACACTGGTCTCTATGTGCAGCAGGCTGTGAGACACCAGTGCTCAGGGACCGTCTACAAAGTGCAACACTGAAAGAACATCACACACAAATTTGCTTCCAGCACTTTTACACAAAAATCTACTGTCATTATTTTCACCAAACTACGTTGAGTCTTTTATTGGAGATTCCAATGTAATTCAAATAGTCAGACAACAGAGGGTTATAAGGAAATATGATGAAATGTTGTGTATTAGCAGGAAGTTATTGAATCATTTTCCTCATAAACCAAACAAAATGATTGAAGAACATGTTTTTACAAACTCAGTATTGGACTTTGATCAGCAGGATAACCCTGATGTTTAAAGGCATTTTAGTCTCGCTGTATGAGAGTCCAGTTATCACTCCCTCCAGGTAATACACGACACCACGGTTCTTCATTCACAGATGGATTTATTCTTCCGTCACACTTTTCCAAACCACCATAAAATCAACCATCAAACTGTCATTACATAAACGTACAGAATGACCAAACATATATTAGAAAGAAACATTTAATCAAAGTTCACAAATGCGTGACAAACAAACCCAGGATTGTAGATGGAAGCTACTGTGGATAGCACTCTTCTTGTCATTAGGTGTTTCTTGGCAGTAACTCTGAACTGAAAGTAATCAGAGGATACACACCATTGCACCCCCAGTGCTCTTTCTAGGAGTGGCTCCCCTAAATCTATGTCCAGCTCTTTGACACTATCAGCATACTCTTCCTTTAGTATCGACTCCAATACCTTCTTGCTGTTGGAATTGAACTTGTGTAGTCTAAGCTTTCCTGCACTGCAGAGCTCTCTCGCTTCCTTGATCTGCTCGATTGCCTCAGCATCAGACCTTACACTCACCAGTCCATCGTCAACATAACATTTCTTCAGATGAATTTAACAGTGCTTTGGTTAAATTGATTCTGACCTTCTGTGGCTAAATGGTTAAGTCCAAAGTTGGCACAGCCAGGTGAGGAAGCTGCTCCAAATAAATGGACTTTCAAACTGATGGCGGAGACTCAAGATCACCATTCTCCCACCATAAGAACCTCAAGTAGTCTTGGTATCACAAGTATCACATGTGGAGTTCCCCAAGGTTCCATCTTGGGACCCCTTCTGTTTAACATTTACATGCTCCCACTGGCACAGATTATAAAGAACAACAAAAAAAAAAACTATCATAGCTATGCAGATGACACAAATATATATCTCACAATGTCACCTGGAGACCGAGGCCCTGTAAGGCTCTTGGTAAATACATTGAGGAAATTAATGACTGGTTGTGCCACAATTTTCTCCAGCTAAGCAAAAACAAAACTCAAGTAATAATCTTTGGTGCCAAAGAAAAACGATTACAGGTGAGAAATGTGAGTGTAGTGATGGATGCAATCCTAAACTTAGAAAAACACATTAAGACAATAACAAAATCAGCTTACTATCACCTCAAGAATATATCAAGGATAAAAGATCTGATGTCTCAACAGGACCTGGAAAAACTAGTCCATGCATTCATCTTTAGTAGGCTTGATTACTGTAACAGCATCTTTACAGGTCTACCTAAAAAAAAAAATCAGTCAGACAACTACAGCTCATTCAGAACTCTGCTGCTCGAGTCCTCACTAAGACCAAAAAAGTGGACCACATCAGTCCAGCTCTGAGGTCTTTACACTGGCTGCCTGTCCGTCAGAGGATAGACTTTAAAGTTCTTATGCTGGTCTATAAAGCTCTGAATGGTTTAGGACCAAAATACATCAGTGACCTCCTGACCCAGTATGAACCTTCCAGATCCCTCAGGTCATCTGGATCCGGTCTTTTATCAGTTCCCAGAGTCAGAACCAGACACGGAGAACCTGCATTCAGCTTTTATGCTCCATATATCTGGAACAAACTCCCAGAAAGCCTCAGATCAGCTGAAACACTCATTATTTAAATCCAGGTTGAAGACTCACCTATTCTCAGCTGCATTTGAATAAAACACCAAATCCACACTTTTACTGATTTTATCTACTGTTCTGATTTTATCTACTGTTTTTTAATCAATTTTAAATTATGCTTTTTAATTGTTTTTGTTTTTTAATGTCTCTGTAAAGCACTTTGAATCACCTTGTTGTTGAATTGTGATATATAAATAAACTTGTCTTGCCTTGTCTTGGTCTTCAGGCTTTACATGGAATTGATGAAACATTCGTTCCACATCACACATAATAGCAACTGGACCCTTTTGAAATCTACAAAGAACTCCCACCAAGGTGTTTGTGAGCTCTGGCCCTGTAAGAAGGTGGTCATTCAATGATATGTCTTGAAATCTTGCCGAACAATCGAAGACTACCCGTAATTTCTCTGGCTTTTGAGGGTGGTATACGCCATGGTGGGGAATATACCGAGCCGATTGGTTATCAAGCTCTTCTTCTAGGACCGTTTGTGCTTCACCACGACTGATGATGTCTTTCATGAAGTTCATGTAGTCTGTCTGATATTTCTGGTCTCTCTTGAGCTTCCTTTCCAAGCACATGAGCCATTGAACAGCACATGGCTTGTTATTTGGTAGATCTGGTCTGCTCCGTTTAAAAGGCAGAGGCATTTTAAGATGTCCATCCTTTTTGTGCTTAATTTACTCTTTCATTTTAGTCAAAAACTGGAGATCTTCTTGCAAGAGATTTGCCTCTTCTCCAAGCCTTTCACTGAAGTCAGATTCCAGCACCTTAAGTACATTTTCTGGAGCAGTCATTTCCTTAATTCTTGTTTTGCAGACATAATGAACTTCGCTCTTTAACTTACTTGTTACTTTGGGTTCGGGGGTCACTAGCTTTACAATGATGCGCGACTCCAATTGCAAAGCTGTAGTGTTCGCCTGGATAACCATAGATCACTGGCATCAGTGCTTGTGGGCAAGTTATACCTGATAAGAAGACCGATTTCACATTCCTTTGGCCATTCCAAAATGGCCAGGACTCAAACAGCCCAAGCACAGTTTCTCACCTTGAATGAACTTCACTCGGTAAGCACGGCCTTGCAGTTAGTCTATACCACTTGTGCAAGACATGTCCTGTTTTCTTACAAAACACACGTGCTTATGTTCTTCTCAGTAGTGTTAGTTGTAAAAATCCTGGCACTTGCTGCTTGGTTCTTAGAGGTCACTACATTCTGAGGTATAGATCTTGTCTTTTCCGGCTCCCCTTGCCGCAAAGTGTAGTAAGATGTAACAGGGTTACAAGCAATACTAGCTTCTAATGTCAGGAAGGTTACAAAATACTTGAAATGTGGGAACCTTCCATGCTCTAACTGGTACTGTGTGGCTTTTCGGTTCCATCTGTTGCTTAACCACTTAGGCAACTTGGCTTTCAGTTTTTGATTTTCAACACCATCATGAAGAATACGCAGACTCTCATTATGAATCATGGCACATTCAAAACTGCGTAAAAAGTCCACAAATTTCCTTAAGTCAGCACTTTCTCTTGACATAGTTTGTCTCGGCAGGCTTTGGCAATCATAAAAGGCTGGCCACATCGCTCATTGAGCAGTTCCCATGCAGCAGCATATGCAGTATCTGAACCAATCAGAAAATAACCTTATAATGCTTCTCTAGCTGCTTCTCCAACATATTTCTGAAGCAAGAATATTTTCTGAGCTTGGAATGTTTTTCTTTTTAATTAAAGTTTGGTAGGATGACTTCCAATGATTAAACTTGAGTGGATCACCACTAAAAACTGTGGGCTCTGGAATGGGTAGCCTATTTGCTGATATAGCTTCAGCTAAGACCACAAGCTCTCCTGTGCCATCTTGAAGCAAACGGGGGAAGGGATAGCTCAGTAGCTGAAGTGGTGGCCCCATGATCGGAAGGTTGGGGATTCGAATCCACTGAACGGCTACCCTGAGGTACCATCCCTACACACTGCTCCGCGGGCACCCAATGGCTGCCCACCGCTTCACTGAGTGAATGGGTTAAATGCAGAGAGGAATTTCCCCACGGGGATCAATAAAGTATAAAGTATACATTACGTGCTGGCACTGCATCCTTTGGTGCTTGTGAGTGCTGGTCCTCAGGGTTCACCTGATTGACTGACTGCTTAACCTTATGTAGGATCAAGGCTGTGTGGAGCAGTCTCTTGGGCTGGATTGAGCTCATTTTTAATCATACACTTGAAGCCTTGCTTTGGCTGCATTTAGCCTTTTCAAATTCTCCAAATGCTCAGGTTCTCTGTAGGTTTTCTACAGACCATCTTCTTGCAGCATTCTCTTCTTGCTGTTTCTTTAAGAGAGCCACCTCTTGTTTCTCTCTTTCTAGCCTACGTTCAGTTTCTTCCCCTTCTCCTTCAAGACGACAAGCTAATGCAGCTGCTTCTTGGTCTGCAATGTCCGCTCTTCAACTCTAAGTTTTTGCAGTTTCTCTTGGTGGCCCTCTTGTTCGGCCATGATCTGCAATACAATCTTTGTAGCTGCGTACTCAGCAACAGCGTCTTGTCTTTTAAGTGAGGATATATTAGATTGAATAGAAGAAGCCTTAGAACCATTAGAGACAGAGAGTGAAACACTGGAAGCTGAGTATGAGAATACAGAACTATGATCTGGCCAGGGTTGGTGAGTCCGCTTCAGAAACAAAACATAA